TCTAATAACAATAAAAATAAATAGCAAACCAAGACATGAGATTTTGCTACAGGTGTCCAACATATCGACCGTCTTCTGTTATGGACAGAAGGGGCAGTTTTTGAACATTTCTCGCGGAATTCATTAACTCAGTGGGGGTGAAAGATACCCTCTCATAACTGCTAATTCTTGTTATTATTCTGCTATTTCTAATTATTGTCTAGATTATACGGTAGAATAAGGGATCTTTATTCTTCCGCAAATATATCCATAGGATTAGATCCATGGGCACTAAGTCAGGCGGCCTCGACGGCCAACGGCTGGGATCTTGGTTAGCTATTCAATTATTCTTGAAATTGGCTGCAAAAATGTGCTGATAACTTCAGCATTCAGAGGCGGTGCGTCGTCTTGCTGTAAAAATATGTTTTCGAGTTCCTTTAAGGGCATATCATCAATAAGGGGTCCAAAGCCTACTAGTTAAAAGTGGCGAACTTTTAAAAATTCTGTATTTCGAAGGGGATTGTAACAAAATATCAAGTGTGCTATATTTTTGGAAAGGTAATTTTAAATTCTTTTCAGTTAATTAAAAATATAGAGGGTGTCCCGAATAAAAATCAATTTTTCTGTTGATAACTCTTAAATTATTAATTTTAAAAAAATTATACTTAAACCATTAAATTCTACGTAAAAAGATGCTTTGGGAATGTTTTCATAGAAATACAAAATTTTCCATAACAAAACAGTTACAGCGATTTGCATGTTTTTGAAAAACACCCTGGAACTCCGAAACGGTTAGAGATATTGATGTGCGGTTCAGCATCATGTTTTTGATGAAAATTGAGCTCCAGACACCGATATTATTTATATTAGTTTTCGTCTATCTCCTAAAGAAAAGGCTATTTCCATTTAAAAGCGTCGAATTTGACCCACCCTGTACGGTGGAGACACCAATCGTTCTGCGGTCAACGCATAAAACACTTATTTTCTCTAATTCGGTGGACGAAGGTATTTCGAAGACGGTGTTGATCTGAAAGTAACAGTATTGTCATATTAAAATACGTAATATCTTTAATAAAATCCCCGTTTACGTATTGAAAATTTATTCGTGTTAAACATAGAATAAACAACCAAAATAAAAATTCTTTTATAAGTACTGAATATGTCGTATGATCGAAAAAAGTTGTTTAGTTGGCTTGGAAAGACGATTATTGACATTTACCATAATATTTTAGATATAAAATAACAGCGATCTTCATTTCCAAGCCAACTCTGACGCTGTTCTTTGTTTAATCATATAATATTATATTAAATTTTGTTTAATTAAAAATTCGCATTATTAACGTACTGTACCCAAGATCCGTAGATCTACGGATTAATCAGCTGTAATTTCTTTATTAATAATCTGGTAAATGATGGAGATAAACAATTGTGATTGATTCAAATTTTATTTTCAGATGAAACTTGCGTTAACAACATTCTGAGAATTCGAATAATAAATTGAATAATGACAAGACAAGTGACATCTGTCAAAAAAAGACAACGATTAGAGTGACAATTTGGTTGTGTAAAGTTTAGACTGACAATTTTGATTATGCAAAAGAAATGAGTTTACAGGTTGCCTAGCGATTAACATTAATTTAAAAATAAATCCCCAACATGAATAATGAACGTCTGTCAAAATTTAACAAACATTGTTAAATTATTATAAAGCAAGAATAGTATACGATTTTATATTAACTGTAATTTTTTTGAAGTGTATGAAAAGCATTCATAAAAAATATATATCCTTCAATTTAATAGCTGTTACTAAGTAAGAAGTTTCACTTGGCTTCACTCTTAGTTTTTTTTGTATAATAAATGTAGCTTATTTTATAAAATATGACTGTTTATTAATGCTAAAAGAAGGGAAGAAAATAAAACTAAATAACATACAATTAATATAACAATTTTATATTACTAATAAATATCACAGATATACATTTACCCTAATATTTAGAGTATTCTTCCTGTACAATCTACGACAACCATGTTACTATTTTCTACAAAACTTGCAGCAATCATAATATATGCGTTTTATCCACTTGGAAAAACTGGTTTCAATAAATGACGTTTTTTAAATAAAAGTTACATTTACATATATACACACATCGAAAAACCGACTTTAACAAAAAATATTTTTAAAGCATTTTGCTCTTAAAATCTTGTTTGTTTTCCTACGGAATACTAATGCAACATTTACATGTTTCCCACGATTTAAATTTACGAATATGAATTTATAAATATAAGTAAATGTAACAAATATAACACAGAAAAATATTTCAGACAATATAAAAATAATTTAATTTAAGTCGTAAGTAATTAAGTTTCTAATAATTTGACGTAAGTTTAAGACATTGATTAGAATATATATTTTTTTATAGCAAATTGAGTATTACATTAATATTTTAATATTAAAATTATTTTTATCAATGTAAAACATACTTATCTTAGTATAACGTTTTTCTTCCTGTTTAATTTTATATTTTTTAATTATTAATAGCAGTTTATTAATTTTTGCTCCACAGTAAATTAGCGCTATAATTATTAGTTACGTAAAATCACAAGTAGTAATAATTATTAGGTATACAAGATGTGTCATAAAATATATAATGCATTCACCGGAAAAACGGGCATTTTATAATTTTGATGTATGTTAAAGTTTAATATATGTTGTTCTAGTGGGCCGATTTTAATGATTTTTAAGTAATTTGTAGCTAAATTGTTTGATTTTTATTGCCTCTTTCTAAATTAAAAATGAAAGTTCACGTCTGTCAATTATACGAGGGTTGTAAAACAAAACGTTGATATTTTACAATCAATATTATTTCAAAGATACATGTATGGATTTTTTAATGTTTGTGATAAGTATCTACATTATAAAATATACAATTACATAATGTCTAAAATATATTAAACCGGAATAATTTTAAGGCCAGTTTTATTTTATAAAACAACTAAATCTTTTAAATAAAACATAAGTTGCTATTCTTACACAAGAATATACATTTAATAGCGTATTTAGTTTTACAAGATCGAATCTAAAATCAAATTACTTATCAACAAACGAATGACAAAATATATATCATAAAAACTGTATTATATATAAGAACGTATACAAAAATAATAGCCCTTGCTCACGTCAACATTACAAGGTTTGTGTAATATAATCCGATTCTTTTTATACTTATTTCTTTTGTAATGGTGTTCTATTTTCGATTTTCTGTCTATTTATCTTTAATACATTTTTAAGCGTAGACATAAAGTGCGTGTAGGTGTATCAGTACTTTGAAAGGACAGCCGTATGATTCTGATTTCTATAGTGTATTAGAATTTCAATAAATATTTTTGCGAAATAAGAATATTCTTTGCCGGAAAATTTAAACCTCTTCAAAGAATTTGATCTAAAAAATAATACTACAATTAAACTAGCTAAAATTTAAGTATGTTGCTACAATAACTTTCTTAAACGTTATTAAAGTACACAAAAAGCTATTATTTCAAGGTTACTATTAAATGAATATTACTTACTTAATTTAATTAAAACGATGATGATTAAGTTTTGGATATACGAGGCTGAGTTGAAAAATAATCGGCCTAGGTAAGAAAACACAACTTTTTTCGCCAAAACTTAATTTATTTCTCAACGTAGTCGCCGTTAAGCTCTATACACTTTGTCCAACGATTCTCCAATTTTTCGATGCCCTTCGAATAATAAAATTTGTCGAAGTCCTTAAAATAGACCTCTGTCGCAGCGATGACCTCCCCATTCGACTCAAATCTCTTACCACCGAGCAATTTTGTCAAGCAAGTCTGGAAACGGATAATAGTCGCTGGGCGCCAAATCTGGGGAGTATGGCGGATGAGGAACCAATTCGTAACGCAATTCAGATAGTTTTGCCATTGCGACTGCACATTTATGCCCCGGTGCGTGGTCCTGGTGGAAGAGCACTTTCTTCTTCGCTAAATGCGGTCGTTTTTGCTTCAAATCGGCGTCGAATCGGTCCAACAGCTTTGAGTAATATTCGCCGGTGATCGTTTTGCCCTTTTCAAGGTAATCGATATGAATAATACCATGCGCATCCCAAAAAACTGTGGACATGACATTGTTGGCAGACAGACCCACCTTGGCTTTCTTTGGCTTTGACTCGCCCTGAGAAACCCACTGCTTTGACTGTTCCTTCGTCTCTGGCGTATTGTGATGGGTCCAAGTTTCATCCACGGTTACAAAACGGCGCAAAAAGTCCTTCATATTGTGGTTAAATATTGCCAAACATTCCTTTGAAGTTGTCACACGGTTTCACTTGTTGTCGGGATTGAGCAAATGGCAGCGAGCTTCCTCATTCCCAAATATTCATGCAATATATTCTCCACTCGTTCACGTGAGATGCCCACAGCCTCAGCAATCTCGCACACTCTTACCCGTCGATCGTCAATTACCATACCATGGATTTTATCGGCCACTTCTGGTGTGGTGACCTCTCTTGGACGACCTGGACGCTCATCATCAAAAATTATCGTACGACCGCGTTTAAATTCGGTCCCCATACACATCATCCAGTTCGATTTTGATCTCATCGTTCGTTTTCTTTTTTAAAAACAAGAATCTAATCACGGCGCGATATTCGATTTTATTCATTTTTGTAAAAATGCAAAATCGGTTCGCCTTCAATCACTGTCAAGTACAAACTAAGTGACGCAGCTCGCTGAAAATTTGACAGAAGTCACTTGAAAGATAGTTTTTACGAAAAACAATTGCATTCGTTCGTAGCGCCGCCAACTCTTGCCGAGGCCGATTATTTCTCAGCCCAGCCTCGTATGATTCGTATTATCCTTGTATATGGGTATTATTAAACAAAGTTTTTCCAAAAATATGTACTATTTCTCGCGGAGAGATAAAAATAAAAATAACATAAAAATAATATTAATGTTTTATATCAACATAGGTCCAATTCTGCTTTGTTTCATAGCTACAGGGGGTTAAAGTCATAATTTTTTTCGATTTATTATAATTTTCTTGTGTGATCTCGTTATGAAACAATGATGTGCAAAAAATCTCCAACCTAGATATTGTAGTTCATTGAAACTTCTAATGCACGCTCAGCTTGCTACACCCTGTATACTTTGATGTTTTAATAAAATAGAATAATAAATTTAAAATAAAAAAATTACGGAATTATTGCGTTTATCGACTGTGGAGCAAAATAAAACTGAAAATATTCTTAACAACTAAAACTTACAAATTAGCCAATGAAACTAACACAGGAATGACATCCTTAACAAAATATAACAAAGCAGGATGTACGGTAGCATTGTTGGAGTGGTAGGTTTCCTAACTCCGCTTAGTCCCCTAACTGAAAAAAAAAGAACAAGTTTAATGAATACAACAGCATACAACCTTTGGTCATACAACAGCAAAATGAAACACTAATTCACCACAATACAACTAACAATTGTGGTAATTTAAGTGTATAGTGCTAATAATAAATTACAACAGTTATTAAGTAATCCATATCATTATGTCTCACCCCTATAACATTTTTATTTTTTCAGACCCTTTACTTTTTTTCAGACACATCAACTTTATTCAAAATATAGGTCAACTAAGTTTTAAAACAGTGGAAAAGCAGGTGTAGAGGCATGGGCATACTAATTAGTGAAATACAATACAATACACTTTGCAATTCGCTGACGACCAGGTTATTGGTGCAGGAGACAAAGATGACTTGGAATATATGACACGCAAACTTAAAGAGGAATACCAAGTTTGATTAGTTCCTCAATATAAATTGGAAATAAAATATCAAAACCATTTAAAATATCAAAAGGGTTAAGACAAGGGTGTTGCCTGTCCTGTCATCAACTTTATTCAAAATATAAGTCAACTAAGTTTTAAAACAGTGGAAAAGCAGGTATAGAGGCATGGGCAGTGCCGTATCTGGGGGGATGTTTTGGGGGTTCACACCCCCCCCCCCCGAAATTATGGTCGAAAATTTTTAAAAAGTAATGATCATTGAGTCAGTAAGAACGAAACAAAAAAGAAGAAGAAGTTGGATGAATATCTATGACTAAAGAATACAGGGACATGTAACGCCCATATACGGGCTGCAGCAGAATTTGTGACCTTAGACGCCAACTTTTTAGACATAACGAATGAATCATCAGCTGGTCATCAGCGACAATTTTAGCGATTTTTAATAGTTGGTTGTGTGTAGTGAACTTTGTATAAACTTTATTACAATGGTAATTTGTTCAGCTGTCAAGTGTAAAAGGCGCAATGATAAGAAAGAGCCAGAAGTTACGTTTTATAGGGAAATAAACAGCCCCTACACCTTTTTAGCGTTTTTTTTTTATTGAATTCGATAATTATTTTTCTGATATTATATGTACTTGATATGTACTATACGTCGATACTAGTTATGTACCTTTTGTTAACATTTTAATACGTTTCTTTCGTAATTAATTAGTATGATACTACCCGATACACCATAGGCGTAGTGAAAACATATAATATAAAAAATATAAATATCCCTTCAAGCGGCAATGTTAAGTAAAATATGTGCCACGACACTGTTTGGAAGAATGGTCACAGTTTGGTTTCGGGTGCTATTTGTCCTTGTATTCTTTAGTCATTGATGAATATACATTATACATCCTAACCTCACTTTTCCACTTTGAAAGCAAATGTCATTTTCAATTTTCGACTTTCAACATTCAAGTGTTTAAAACAGCAAAAGTTTGACAAGGACAAGATTTTGAATGTTGTGTGTTTTGCTGGTCATTCCCGTAGACCAAGAATTCTTGGACTATGACACTTTAGGGGCAGAACTAGACTTGTGGCGGCAAAAATGGAAGCAGTTACCTGCAGTCGACCTAAAAACGCCATCGAAACGATAATCGGAGTGTAACCAGTGTATATTTCCAAATATATACATTTTATTAATGATCCTAGCAACTCTACCAGCGTCAACAGCTACACCAGAAAGGTCTTTTTCAACCCTAATGCCGCAACCGCACATGCGATATTGCGATAAGTCCGGTCACGAGCGTTCGGTAGTTGACGAGCGCTCGGAGTTCGCTAAATGCCGCATGTGCGGTTGCGGCATAAGACGATTGAACTCTACAGGTCAGGAGCGATTGACAGGACTTCCTCTATTAAGCGTACATAGAGAAATAAATATCGATATCAAAGAGGTAGTCAATCGTTTTTCCAGGGAAAAGACCAGTTTATCCTTTAAGATTAATAATTTTTACCTGTTACTTTTTTAAAATTTTATTTCCAATTAAGATTTGAGTGTAGCCCAAATCGATTTTTTTATTATGCTTTTTTCCTAGCAGCTTTTGTAATAGCAACCCGATAAGGAGATCAGCATGAACATTAAGGTTGGATAGAGATATTTTGACAACCTTCGCTAGGTTTGACACGCCTACTCTATACCAACTGAACGCCTATATAAACGTTCAATTGGTAGATATTAGTTTAGTTTTAATTATCTACTGATAATGCTAACATGGTTAGCGAAGCGTGCGTCCAGTACAAAAGGAAAGTATTTTGGTATATTATGGTAAATTAGTATAATAAGTAGGTAAATTAGTGTATACTTGTATTCATTTAAAACTTCCCAATATGGCGGACTTCAGTATGGGAGGCTTAAAAAACGAAAATCTCTAAACTGGAATCGACTGTACTACAAATCGTTCAAATTGATAATCTGTGGTAAATCCAATTGAACTCTGACAATTGGCTGACATTGACGTTTACGGTTCCTTTTTCTAAATATCTTCATTATTTTTTGAGTTTTTATTCACAAATTCTACTTGATTTTGTTCTTTTATTTAACCTGCAACCTGCAGTACTAATTATATAGTTATAAATAATCTTTTCACCGATCAAGAATTGACGAATAGGCTGGAAGATATTCAAAATGTGTAAAACGCTTAAAAACGTATTAGAAAACATTGACTCGTTCACAAATTCGTGAAAATAAATTAGTCCAGATGTTTCTAAAAAGGTCTCTAATTATTTTGAGAAGTTTCCTCGTATATTCAGGTTTGTAATATGTACTATATGATAATAAATAGATTAAAACTTATATTTCAGGAAACAGCGCGGGCATTACAGATTGTTGTAAATCAGTTTTAAAATATAAAGAAGGTTTAAAACAGGTTTAAAAGTTGAGAAAACCTAAATAAGGTAATGTTGGTAATGGCGGACCAAACATCAAATAACACTTGAAATATATAATTATATGTACAATAATTGTAAGTAGTTTTTATGAATCTGTTTGATATTTATTGCATTGTTTTTATATTTCTTGAAATATGTATATATTTTTTTACTTTACAGGATACACAAAGAATAATAAAAAATACAGTTACTCACTAAAAGCACTTAAGGTTTGTAATATATGTAGTTAGAATATCAAACACCAAACCAAACCAAAAATTATGTTTTATTTTACTGGTATTCCTCACATTTGAAGGGAAAGTCATTTCATAAATAAGCAGGACATTGTATAGTACACTATTAATAATTGTTTTTTATCCTATACTTGTTAGTTAACGCATCACTTACTAGGTATAAAATTTAGTACTGATTAACCTATAGTTGTGGTTGTGATATATTCTGATGTGTTTCTGGCAATTTAAAATAAGTTAATATTTAAACAAACATTTCTAGCTTTCCTGACAGGAGTGTGGACACAAATTTAATAAAGATATAATGTGGATAATGTTCTGATTATTACAGTTTGCATGGATGTTTTTGTATGTTGTTATTTTTAATAAAGTATATTTAATGAGTTTTTGAGTATTTCTTTTTCCTTCAGAGGATTGTGTTCTAATCTTTATATATTATAAATTTTCATAAATTATATCTACAAAATTTATTACCTTATAATTTTTTGCTAAATACTTTGTAGTGGATACAGTTTAACAGTATATAAAAGAACTATTTAAATAAGGTGTTTGAAAATATATAGCTGTTTTTGCACACATCAATTCAATTTGTGATTAACTGTACTGAAATAAAGACAAATTAAGAGAAATGGGGTGATCTATTAACTATAACATAAAAAGCATCATCCATTTCCAAGTCTTCTATTAATTTCACTTATTAAACAACTATAATTATTCAATAATCCTGATAATTCTAGGAACTCTCAGATATCGTCAATAACATGTAAACAAAAATTTACTTCCTATAGTTCTTAAGTCCCTTTAACTGAAATATAAGAAACAGGGGAGTTAATATTCTCACTGAGAAAGTTTATAAAATACCTTTAAGTAAAATCTCTTCTGATCTGCGCTAAAATACCTTTATTCTTATTAAATAATTTCAATAATCTAAGTTTTTATTTATGACAACCACCTAATAACCTAACTTTAACGTCAACTTGACAATCCTGAAAAATATTATTGTTAACCAAAGAGTAAATCAATTTCTGAATTCGCTAACGCCAACTTATTTTTCATTAAAAAAAAATTACCAATTTTCGCAACTAGGTCGGCCATATTGAGGAACTTTTAAAAGAATAGTACTATAATAACATTGAAAATGTTCATGAAATATTATACACACTACAAGTGTTTGAAGTCAATGACTCATCTAAGGATGAATTAAAATATAGTATCTATATCATGTTCTTTATTTGTCAAGTATATTCAAAGAAAGACTACAATTAAGGGTGTAACAAAGCAAGATATACGATAGTTTCGTTGGGTTCGTAGCATTCGTGACCCCATTTAGTCCTCCAACTAAAAAATGAGAGCAAGATAAAGATATAGGGATTAATTATATTCGGAAACGAGAGATGGATAGAGAAAAGGAAACGGCGAAAAGAAAATAACAAACCAGAACCGACCGAGTCTAATTAGTTTTTCCGCCTTTTTGTCTGCGCGTTTTCATTTGTTTCGTACAATTTTTTCGAAGAAATTCGAGATATAATTTCACTTTAATTAATATTTATGTTGAAATTTTAATGGTATAACAACATAACGTGCTTAACGTAAGAGGCAATTTATATGGGAAAGTTGAGTAATAATTGTTTTTTCTCTATCTAGGTATATCTGCTTATTCTTTTTATATTTTCGGGTATCTGTAGCTCCAATAAAAAACTTTGGAATTTTGTATAAGTGCAGACCTAAAGTATGTACGAGGATGTATTTCAAGAAAATATTTTATATACAGGGTGAGTTTCCTACGATGTTCGCTATGGGTATCTCGGAAACTACTGGAGATAGAGAGTCGGTTAAATGGGGAAAGAATTGCAATTTTGTGGGGTCATAAATATGCGCCTTTCAGATTTTTGATAAAAATCATGGCTTACTAAATATTTCGAAAAAACAAATTTCG